AACTTTCTATCTATCCATTATCTGTTTATCTATATATTGATCTTTCCACTTATATATCTATGTACCTATGTATCTGTATAGCTATTAGTCTACCTACCTACCTCCTTTTCTCCCTCCCTCCCTCCCTATTTTTGTGCCCCTACTAGGTTACTTCTCTTTCTCTTTGTCATCTTTCTATCTCTCATCTCTCTATCTAATTCTCTAGTTATCCATTTATCAATCTCTTTCTATTTGTCTATTTTGTTTTGCTACTGGAGTATCTCTATCTATCTCCCTCTGTGTGTATTTCTCTAATAATCTCACCTATTACTTTTCTATATAATCTCTATTTCTCTTTATCTCTGTCTCTTGTCTATGTCATATCTATCTATAATAAGTATCTATCCATGTATGTATGTATCTATCTATCTACCTTTCCTTTTTGTCTTGGTACTGGGGTATCTTTGTCTATGCTGTTCTGTATGTATGTATTCATATATGCATGTATGTATATATCTATCTGGTGCTGTTACTGGGATATCTATTTATCTTGACCTCTCTTTCTCTTTCTCTTTCTGTATCTGTATATCTATGTACCTACTTTTTGCTCATACTGTTTTATCTCTTTCATTCTCTATTTTATTTGCCTCCCTATCCTTTTCTCCATTTCTCTTTAAATCTAGCTCTATTTCTTGAATTCTCTCAGCTATGACTCCATCTATGTATCTATTTTGTGCTGTTACTGGAGCCTCTGTCTCTCTCTTTCTCCCTCTATCTTTGTCTCAATTTCTCTATCACTCTCTGTCTTCTTTATGTCTCTTATCTATCTTTGAGTCTGTCTCTATCTCTCAATCTCTTTATCTTTTGTGCTGTACCTATCTTTCTGTCTCTCAACTCTCTCATCTATCCTATCTATCTCTCATCTCACTATCTCATCTATCCTGTCTGTCTATTTTGTTCTGCGACTGGGGCATTTTGTCTCTACCAACCTCTCTATGTTTCTATCTTTCTATTTCGCTATATATTCACCTATCTCTCTGTATTTTTTCTTTCCCTATCTCTCTGTCTCTCATCTATCTTACATCTATGTCTCCAATACATATCTATGTATTTATGTATCTTTTAATCTATTTTGTGCTGGTATCTTAGTATCTCTCTGTCTCACTCTCTATTGCTTTTTATATTTCTGTCGTTTTCCACATAACGACTTGTACATCTCATTGTTGCAATGGATCCACCTGTATCCCTTTATAAACGATTTGTTTCCTTCCCCTCCACAAATTATACCGACATCAAATACAGTGAAAGCAGGGGTTATACCATGGGGGAGGGACATACAAAGCAACAAAGAAATAATCTTATAAATGTGTTAGAAACAATCACCTGAAAGAAAAAAAACATTTGAATATATATTGTAGGGTTCATTTCTCTAACATCAACTTATCTGAACTTTTCTGCTTGACTCAGACACATACTAGTTATTGCAAATAAGGGAAACCATGGGACCTAAGTTTCTTTGGGCCTGGCTTACTTCACTTAATATAATTTTTTTAAGTCTTTCCATTTACTAAGTTCTCTACCCATAAAAGAAATGAAACTCAAGACATCATTGAGATTCCACCTCACCCCAATTAGAATGACTATAATCAACAGATGCTGGAGGGGATATGGCCAAAAGGGAACCCTATCTCTATCTCTCAATTTCTATTACTCATCTCTCTCTATTTCTCCTTTCTCATCTATCTCTCATCTTTCTCACATCTATCTATATTGTTTTTTATCTCTGTTTATATTTCTCAATTTCTTTTCTTTCTTTTTTTGGTCTGGTCATGGGGCCTGAACTCTGGGCCTGGGTGCTGTCCTTCAGCTCTTCAGCTCAAGGCTAGCACTCTACCATTTGAGCCACAGTGCCACTTCCAGCTTTTTTTCTTTTTGCTTATGTGGTGCTGAGGAATCGAACCCAGGGCCTCATGCATGCAAGGCAAATGCTCTACCACTGAGCCACCTTCCCAGCCCTAAAGTAAGATGATTCTTTTTTTTTTAATTTTGGTCGGTCGTGGAGCCTGAACTCTGGGCCTGGCACTGTCCCTCAGCTCTTCACCTCAAGGCTAGAACTCTACCACTTGGGCCAAAGCACCACTTCTGGCCTTTTCTGCTTATGTGGTGCTGAGGAATCGAACCCAGGGCCTCATGCATGCGAGGCAGGTACTCTACCACTGAACCACCTTCCCAGCCCCTTTCTCAATTTCTATCTGTATCTGTCTCGGTATATCTTTCTCTATCTACCTCTCTATCTCAATAACTCTGTCTGTCTGTCTGTCTATCTATCTATTTATCTATCTATCATCTCTATCTTGCACTGGTACTGGGCAATCTCTACGTATAAATCTCTCTATCCATGTATTTTATGCTAGTACTTGGGTATCAGTTTGTTTTTTTTAAAATCTCTATTTTGTATGACTACATCTATCTATCTCTTTACCTCTATCATTCTATCACACTACCCTTTCTCTCTTTATATTTCTTTATCCCTCAGGCTCTCTCTCTTATTCTCTCTCTCTTTTACTATTACTATCCTCTCTGTCATACTCTGTCTCTAGTGTTGGTACTGGGGTATCTCTTCCTTTCTCTCATCTATCTATAACTATCATCTATTCTCTGCATTTATCTTTCAATGCAAGTATGCATCTATCTATCTATCTATCTATCTATCTATCTGTCTGTCTGTCTGTCTGTCTGTCTGTCTATCATCAAATTTGTGCTGGTACTAAGGCATCACTCTCCAACACTGTCATCTCTCTCTCTCTCTAGTGCTGGTGTTGGTATATCTTATCTCTGTATTTTTTCTCTCTCCATCTGTTTATCTCTATTTCTTTCTATTACTCCATGTATCCTTTCTATTTAATCTGTCTTTCATCTCTCTTACCTATTTGTCTTCTATTTATCTCTTTATCTCTTAATCTTAGTTTCTGTTTATGCCTTTATTTCTCTAGCTTTCTATAATCTCTTTATCCTTCTTTAATCTCTTTCATCTATCTATGCCTCTCTCTACTTATTATCTCTATATAGTTCTCCATCTATTTATATATGTATCTGTGTATCATCTTGAGCTTGTACTGGGCTATCTTTCAATGTGTTTATCTCCTTCTCCATCTATCTATCTAATATCTAGCTTGTGCTGGTATTGTTGTATCTATCTTAGTTTCTATCTCTCTATTTCTCTATCTTTATCTATTTTGTGCAGGTACTGGGGTATCTATCTTGCTTTCTATCTCTTTATCTTGTGCTTCTGCTGTAGTATATCTCTGTCTCTTTTTTGTCTATTTCTTTATAAATCAATCTCTGAAGTTCACTTTATCTTTTTATTTCTCTCTTTAACTCTCCCTCACATCTACCCATCCCTATATCTATGTCTCCATCTATGTAACTATGTATCTATCTATTTTGTGCTGGTACTGAGGTCTTCATTACGGTCTATCTCTGTACCTATCAGTATTGCATACTATTTCTCTTATCTCTATCTCTTTTTATATGTTTTCTCCATCTCTATCTTTCTCTGTCTCTCTCACACACCTATTTCTTATCTGTCTATCCATCTATGTCTCTATCTACTTTGTGCTGTATCTTTCCATCTCTCCATCTTTCTATTTCTTTGTGTTCATCTATCCATCTAGTGCTGGTACTGGTGTACTCCTCTGTGTGTGTGTGTGTGTGTGTGTGTGTGTGTGTGTGTGTGTATGTGTTTGTATCTCTATCTCTTTCTCTCATCTATCTCTCATCTATAATCTATTGTTTTTGTCTATCTGTGAATCTCTATCTCTTTATCTCTATTTCTCTCTATATCTCTTCTTATGTTTCTATATTTTCCATATTTCATCTATGTATCTATATCTCTCTGCCTATCTCTATGTGTCTCTCCTTATACTGGGGTATCACTTTTTCTCTATTGTTTATCTATCTTGTATGACTACATCTCTCTCTCACACAAAATCTCTCTCTCTGGCTCTCTATCACTCTTTGTGTCACTATAATTCTCTATCTCACTCCTTCTGCTTTTTAGTGTTGGTACTAGTGTATCTCTCATTTTGCTGTCTATTTCTCTCTGCTTCTATTTCTCTCTATATGTATGTATGTATCTATTTTCTATCTATCTATTGAACAATTGATCAATGTAGTGCTGGTAGTACATCCCTTTCTATTTCTTTATCTATGCCATATCTCTCTATTTCTATTACTCCATCTCTCTATATCTCTCTTTTTCATCTATCTCTCATCTATTCACTTATCTTTGATTTTCCTATATCTGAATCTATATTCATGTCTCTGTTTATCTCTCTAGTTTTCTACCTTATCTCTCCTGGTGTCTGTCTTTCTACCTCTTATCTATATACTTAGGTTGATATATCTATTTATGCCTTTATCTCCCTATCTCTCTTCCTTTCTAAGTCTATGTATCTATTTCTTTATCTCTCTATATTTTTCTTTACCTAGTGCTGTACTGTAGTATCGCTCTTTCACTTTCTATCTCTGTCTCTGTATCAATCTCTCTTACTATCTCTATTTTTCTATTATCTTTCTCTATCTTTCTCTCTTGTATCAATCTATCCCTCATCTATGTCTCCATCTATTATCTATTTTATACTTGTACTGAAGTCTCTCTTGCACTTTATATTTCTATCTCTATCTCTCTTTATCCCTCTATCAATAGCATATGCTATTTCTCTATCTCCATCTCTCTCTCCTATTTTCTCCATCTTTATCTCTATATGTCTCTCTCATCTATATCTGTATCTATGTATTGATCTATACTATCTATAGTATCTATCTATATCTATCTGTATATCTATTTTATTTTGAAGGTTTCTAGTAAGATTAGCAAGATGAGACCTTTTTGTTTATTGATTCCTATAAGGATTATGCTATTTTAAGAGTATTCAGTCTAACTCTAGTGGGTTTTACTAATTTCACACTAACATATTAACTCACTCTTTTGACGTAAAATAAGATACACTTTTACTGACCGTGAATATTTTGAATAGTTCCATCGTCACCTTTTATGGTCAGAATCTCGCCAGGGTTAACTTGGACCAAAATAATCTAGAAATAAGAAAATTTTTAATGACATATTTTTGTTTTAGTTCATGAAAATATCAGTATTATCCTTTTGAGTAATATTTTGAACCATTAATAATGTGCAGTCAGATCAATGGGCATATAGATATTCAATATCTAAGAACAATTCTGCTCCACTTAAATAAAACTTTACAAGGTCATAGAAAAGAGGTGTATTGAGGTGAAAAGACCACTGTCTTATCTATCCCTCCCCACCAAAATAAAATTCCCTCAATACAAAAATTTCTTATCTAAAGATAGAATTCAAACATGTTTTACCCAGTATTGTGGACGAGGAGACCATCTATTATATCTCTTTGGATAAGTGACAATTTGTGGAGTGTTACTGGCATCCTGGTAACTCTCCATCTAGTAAAAAAAAAATTAATTTCAAATTTTGATTTCAGCATTTGTAGGGAACGTAAAACACATTTACCTTTATATATTACTTAATACTAATTGTACAAAAATCATGAGCTTCATTGTGATACTTTCAACATCATCTTTGTAAAAGTATAATCTTTGTCCTTTTTAATTTCTAGAGAAGTTAGTGAGCTTTTTTTTTAGACCATACATATTGAGATAGGACTTCACCTGAGTAGATTAAAGGATTAAATTTGGAATCTGAACTCTCTTAGTAACCACTCTAATATACAGAAGATATTGCTATTAACATTCAATAGTTTTAGCCTTTGCAAAATTGAACGTATAGCTGTGAACTTTAATTTACATTAGTCATTTTTTAAACAAACAAAAGAAGTTACTGTAAGTACTCATAAAATGATACACTTCCTAAACAGAAACTAATACTAGATTCAAAAACATTTTTAACCACTTTTAATGAAAGAGAGATAAAAAAAGGCAAAACTACTCATACCTGTTGTGTAGGATTCATAAAGGGAGTTACAAGAGGCATGTAAGTAAAGGTCGAAACGAGTTGCGATTCCATCTTGTTTAAGGATATTGGCTTTCACAATAAGTGAAATATCTAAAAAGAAAATGAGACTTACAGATTAATTAAATGAAATCAGTCATGGTTTTAAATGATAAAACCTGACAAAATATTTCTGAGAAAAATGTATTTCAATTTTTCATTTTGAGACAAATTTTATGGCAGTATTTTATGGTATGTTTCAAAATAATCACTGATCTCATATAAAGTTTGTAGTTTAATTAGTCTTCATTTATGTGAAGACAAAGTCTAATTTCAAAGATAATTGTTCAGTTAAACAAGTCATTAGTTATTTGATCCACTCAGCCAAAGTTGAAAAAATTTATTTTTAATCTATGATGCTAATTACCAAGTTGTTTAGATAGCTATAAGAATTACGAAGTGCCTTTAAAAATAATAAGATCACTAGGGCACTGTGTTTTGTGCCTGTAATTCTAGCTACGTGGGAGAGGATTGCAGTTCAAGAGAAGCCTGGACAATAAAGTTAGGTAGATCTCTTCTCAACCCAATGTTGGTTGCCAGTGGTGCCTACTTGTCATCCCAAATTACATTAGACGCTGAAACTGGGAGGTTTGGTTAGTACCATGGTTGATACTATGGCAACTGTCACAAAACTCTGAGATTTCATTTTCATAGGAGGGAAGATGAACACAGTGGCAAAGGTCTTTGATCCCAGTGGCCAAGGGAAGCTTAAAAGTAGGTGAATCTCTATTCAGGCAAGTGCCAGTGTTATCCTAAAAATAACCATTGAAAAACAGAGGTGGAGGGGTGGTTCAGTGGTATCACCCCCTCCCCTAGCAACCACCAGGCCCAGAGCTCCAACTGCCAGTACTGACCAAAACAACAACAAAAAAAGGTTAAGATCATAGAAATTTACCTTAATTATCTCAGATACTAATTATGTTAACTCTTAGACACTAAACCAAACATCTTAAAGTTCGGTTAATATAGTTTAATATAGTTCCCATGTTAAAATATGGACGGCACTGAGTGACAACATATTCTGTACCTCTCTCGTTGTCTGGATCTTGAACATCTTGACAAAAAATCAGAAGAAAAATGAATCTTTTGATGGTCAAGAAGGAGAATACTTAAGAGCCAACTGCTTCAGTCAGGCCTTGAAATGAAATGTGCTGTTAGTGTAAAAGAATGTTCACTATGTCATAATTCCAGGAACAAACTGACATCACTTCCTGACCAAGCTTTTTTTTAAAATGTGGCCTTAGGTAGCTTTTTATTTGTGAATGCAGATTCTCATAAATGAAAGACTTGATTTTTTTTAAAGAATGAAAACTATTTGGAATGTAAAAAATATGGAGTATATCTGGTAAGAAAAATATTTTTTCTTAGGTTATAGATATAGGAGAGAGTTACCAATTTAATGTTTTAAAATATTTATTCAATAGTGACAAGCACTTTATGCTAATTTAAATCTCCCTTTTGTTACCATAGCACAGGTTTCATTCATGGAGAAAGACAATGCTTTCTAGTTCATTCTAATGCCTGGATTGAGGAGTATTGAAAACATAGCCTATAATGACATTTAAAAACGGAGCCTGGCCAAAAATCAGTCTTTCTGTCTCTGTCTGTTTCTCTTTCTCTCTCTGGTTCTTTCTATTGCTGACCCTTCTCTCTTTCTCTCTCCATTCTTCTCCTCTTTTCCTCCTCCTCTCCATTTTCTTCTTCTTCCTCCTCCTCCTCTCTCTCCTTTCCCATCCCTTAATATGTTATTTAATGATTGAATAAGATTGAATAAGATTAAATAAGGTTGATTACTTCAGCTCTACCTAGGCCTAGGTCTAGAATTAATTCAATCTCAGATGACACCTATATGCCAACAGATTAACAGTGGACAGCCTGAGAGAGGTAACTACCCTTAAGTACAGATTGAGATGGTTTTTCTTTTGTTCTGAAACTAAAGCTAATTGTCATGAGATGCCCTAAAATATAAACTTTAAAAGATTTTTTATCTCTTAACAGTTATAAGCAAGTAGGATTAAGTTCCCCTTTTAGTTTTTAGAGCACTTTATTTTTACCACTACCTAGGTGGCTTAGAGAAAAAACATGGAAAACTTAATTACCTTGATCATTTCAAAATTAATTACTAAATTAATGGCTAGCTATTCAATTTCTTAAAGGCTATGACTAGTTGAATTTTTTTAAAAAACACCAAAGTTTACAAATAAGATTAATATTACAATTACATTTTCATGATACATTTATCTTTTCTCGTATACATAATAAAGTACTGAATAAAGTTTAAAGGCCATAGAACTGAACTTTTACAAGTGTTATTGTGGGCAAAGTTTGGAATAAAGGCCCTATAATGTACTTTTCTTATCTAGAACCTAATTTAACATCTGCTTGAACTACAACTTTCATCTATTCTACAAAAGGAAGATAAATAACTATATAATGCAGAGCAATTTGACAATGGTTTGGTTGCCAAGGATTTTTTTCAATGTAGAGCATTTCTAGGGTGGCTTCATTAAGTGCCTCTATTCCAACATAATCTATTTTCCAGCTCATTAAGTAGGTCAATTAACTACTCTATTAGGTGAAGTACCTTTTTCAATGCAGCCTTAATAATTTTGCTTTTCAGGCTTTTAAAATTTTCTGACAAAATCTTATAGAAGCTTCTGTTTTGGTATTGTATTCTCTTCATATATTTACCATTATTCTCCTGTTACTTTGTACTGTAGTTGGGCTATAAATGTAATTCTTTTACATGCCACAGCTCAAAATAAAGTGGCTCAAGAGAACAAGTATAAGACATAGAGTGGTATTTCTATAGCTAAAATGTAATGCCCCAAAGTTCATCTTTTTTTTTTTTTTGTCAGTTGTGGGGATTGAACTCTGAGCCTGGGTGCTATCCCTCAGCTCTTCAGCTCAAGGCAAGTGCTCTATCACTTGAGACACAGTGCCACTTCTTGTTTTCTGGTGGTTTAATGTATATAAGAGTCTATTAGACTTTCCTTGCCAGGGCTAGCTTTGAACTGTGATCTTCAGATCTCAGCTTCCTCAGTAGCTAGGATTACAGGTGTTGAGCCATCGATGGCCCCAAAATTCATCTTAATAAATTCTCTGTATGTGCACAAAAGTCATCAAGTCTAGCTAAAACAAGGAATTATAGAACACAAAAAATAATATTTTCCTTAAAATAAGAAGTCTTACAAATTGGTGAGGACAATTTCAAAATAGACATGCTTAGGCTTCTTTAAGCTAAACCATGGGACTATAAACATTTAACTCCAATAAAAATGTATTAAAGGGCAAGGACTATCAGGGAGCACTCTATTTTGTGACTTTTTATAGTTTATTTAATGCAATAATATAAATATTAAAAGTTATTCTATAGTAAGAGAATAGAGATATGTAATTGGTTTAAAGTGGATTAAAAAAAAATCTATGCCTAGGCCCAGAGTTCAGGCCCCAGGACTGACCAAAAAAAAAAAAAGTGGTGAGTAGCCAGGCACTGGTGGCTCATGCTATAATCCTAGTTACTCAGGAGGCTGAGATCTGAGGACTGAGGTTCAAAGCCAGCCCGGGCCAAGAAAGTCCGTGAGACTCTTATCTCCAATTAACCACCAGAAAAACCAGAAGTGGCGCTGTGGTTCAAGTGGTAGAGTGCTTGCCTTGAGCTGAAGAGCACAGGGACAGCCTCCAGGCCCAGAGTTCAAGCTCCACAACTGACAAAAAAGTGGTAAATATATCTTAAATATTTAATTTGATTAAGAAGCAATGCTTATTTTTTTCAGAATTAAATTTATGTTAATGCTTCTACACCTTCATAATTTTTGTATTTCAATTCAGAATGCATTGTTCTGGCTCACAGCCTCATGTTCCTTGCTTAGTGCTCAAATGGAAGGTTCTCTCAAAGAAATTCCTTACAACAGGCATCTCAAAGTCCTATTCCAAAGTTACCAATAACTGTTGCTAAAACTGGAAATCAATTAATAATAAAAATCATTTCTGGAATATACTCTTGTCAACAAACTGTGGTGTAAATTTAACTTCTGGCTTGATAGAAAGCATATTCTGTACTCTCTTGACATCAATATTAATTATGTAAGACACGAGAAGGCAAATTGAAATTTGGTGAAAGAAAACATGTCATCCTAATGTTTTTATTATGTTTTATCTAAGAGATGGTGGAAATTCTTTTTTTATAGCAGTAAGTCTGTGAGTCAAAAGACTTGAGGTCAAAGTCTTGGTTTATCCCTTATTAGGTAACTTTTATTTGGTTTGTATGTTACATTGCTGAGAACACAGCAGGTGCTAAATGATGAACATTTTTACCTGAAAATGTCCCATTTAAATAGGCAATTATTTGAAAATATTTTTATTTAATGAAGTGTATACTCAATATTCAAGGAAAGGAGAACATACTAAATAGTGAGGCTTAATATTGAAAGAAATCATTATCTTGAAGATCATTGCTATTTGCTGGGTGCTGGTAGCTCACACCTATAACTTTAGCTATTTAGAAGGCTGAGAGATGAGGCTTACAGTTCTAAGCCAGCCAGGGCAGATAATTCCAAGACTCTTAAATTTTTATTTGAGCCAGGCACTCAGACTGGTGACTCACACCTGTAATCCTAGCTACTCAGGAGGCTGAGATCTGAGGATCGCAGTTCAAAGCCAGCCCAGTCAGGACAATCCATGAGACTCTTATCTAAAGCTAACCACCAGAAAACCAGAAGTGGTGCTGTGGCTCAAGTGGTAGAGTGCTCGCCTTGAGATGAAGAGCTCAGAGACAGCGCCCAGGCCCAGAGTTCAAACCCCACGATTGACCAAAAAAAATTTATTTAAAATGTCTTATCTTAAGTAGTTGTACCAGCAAAAAGCTAGAGGCTGAAGCACACTAGGTAGTGTCCCAGCTGTGATTGAAAAAGCCAATCAAGGAGCTAGGTACCAGTGGCTCACTCCTGTACTTAGGATGCTGAGATCTGAGGATCACAGTTTGAAGCCAGCTCGGGCATAAAAGGCCTCTTGAG